ATTAATGTATTTAGCTAATAATACTAGACCAGATATTGCATTTTCTGTAAATTTATTAGCTAGGTACAGCTCATGCCCAACAAGGCGTCATTGGAACGGGATCAAGCACATATTCCGTTATCTCCGTGGTACAACTGATCTCGGCCTATTCTACCACAAAGATGAAAATGGCGCTTTAATCGGATATGCAGATGCTGGATATTTATCTGATCCTCAAAAGGCGAAATCACAAACCGGGTACGTATTTACTTATGGTAATACCGCAATCTCGTGGAGATCTATGAAACAGACGTTGACAGCTACATCATCAAATCATTCGGAGTTAATTGCACTTTATGAAACCGGGAGGGAATGCGTGTGGCTGCGATCTATGATTCAACACATCCAAAATGAATGCGGTATGAAGCTTATTAATTGTCACCCGACTGTGATCTATGAAGACAACACCGCGTGCATAGCTCAAATTAAAGAAGGCTACATCAAAGGAGATAGAACGAAGCATATATCTCCAAAATTTTTCTCTACTCACGACCTTGAGAAAGAAGGGACGATCAACGTTCAGCAAATCAGATCCAGTGAAAATCCAGCTGATCTCTTCACCAAATCTTTACCCCCGAAGAAGTTCGTTGAACTTGTACAGAAAATCGGCATACGCCGCCTTCAAAATTTATGTTAATTCCAGGGGGAGTATTTGAATGCACTGCACTCTTTTTCCCTTCATCAGGTTTTTATCCCACTGGGTTTTTCCTGATAAGGTTTTTAACGAGACAGTACATCCAAATACAACGACATTATATGTCGTAATCTTTACCCCTTAATTTTCACACTGATTTTCACAATAAGTTTTTAAAATACCAAATACCTATTCCAGGATGAACATTCAAGGGGGAGTGTTGTAAAATCATCAAAATGGCATGTGTGAATGTCCATCCTTGTCATCAGGACACTAATCCAAGTTCAATCCTTGTAATAGACAGATGGCTAGGTTTAGTGTTGCCAACAGATTATGTAGAATCATTCTTTGATGATTCATCTCCTAGTCTACTAGTATAAATAGGGTGATGAATCCTTTGTAAATGTAATTTCAAGCAATTCAGAGAAACTCAGAAATTTCAGATATTAAGAAGAAGTTATTTAGAGCTTTTATTATTATATCTATCTCTTTAATCTGTTCTGCATCTTCTTCATTTCACAACATGTTCCACATTCTCTTATAAATAGTGTACGGAAAATGAAAATGAGGCATGGCAGTGGGTTGGGCTCGGAAGATAATGTAAAAGTGAGACTCGCCTCATGACTTTACTAATTAAGTGGATCCATCCCGCCTTATCATTGCAGGTAGGGGTGGAGACAAGGGAGGCTAACGGTGGCCTCAGCCCCTGTAAGAAAAAAAAAATTGCGATGGATATAATTGTATAAATATTTATAAGTAGTAAAAAATATAGTGAAAATTTAAGTTTTGGCCCCTGCTTTATAAATTTGTTAAGCCCCGACCCCTATAAGCTGTCAATCTTGGCTCCGCCACTGTTGCACGGGTCATAAATGGATCCGCCCTGCGGCCCTCGCCTTATCGTTGCACGGATCATCTAATTAGCTAGAATGTATTTCTATTTCCATAAAATTATTGTAACATCAATTTACAAAAAGTTTAGCTCCAAATCTTTATAATAAATCAAGGTCACGGTGTAACAAAAATTGTCAAAATTAAGAAAATGTGTATAGGGCCGTCCCAAGGGGGAAGGCAGCATGGGTGACCGCCCCAGGCCCTAAAAATAAGATGAAAATTAGGGCCAATTCTTTTCTTTATATGTAATGTCAGCAGGCTTCTTTTTTATTTATAAACTCAGTTAATTAAGTAGGCCTAATTTTTAATTTTTGTTGACAATTTAATTTTTTTAAAAGATAAGTAAAAAGTTTTGATCGGAGTCGCTCAGACAAGTTTAGAAAAAGAATTCACATTTAATTTCGATTTTTAAGTAAAGATCAAAATTACGAATATATACTATTGTCTAGGGCTGGGCAAAATGGTTTGTGGTGAATTATAGGGTATCCAATATAATCTATATAATTTAGAGAGATTGAGCTATGGAGTGAAGAAGATGAATAGTAAGACTTCTTCATCTTGTTTGCATAGCAGTCCCTTGAGTTGGCTTTGTGGATATTCTGGAGATGTGTTTGAATATACCTCTTCATGGAGCTATGGAGCTACTGGAGATGTGTTTGAATATACCTTTTCATGATCATCTTCCTTTGATGTCATGATAGTAGATTGACTTCTTCCTCTTGTTTGCATAGCAGTCCCTTGAGTTGGCTTTGTGGATCCATAGTTTGATTAAAAGTATGTTATCTCCTTTTTTGTTTCTTTTCCTTCAAAGTAAGTTTCCTTCATGATGTTTTCCATCTCAACTGACTATAAGTGTTTAGGAAAATTGGTGGTTGATCTTTTGTTCAAATTTCAAAATAAGCCGGTTAAGAAACTGACTCTATGAACAACCGCTCTGATACCAATTGATGGGTCCCAAGTGAGGTAAGAGTTTGGGGGAGTGAATAAACTTTTAAATCTTTTCATTTTCAACCCTTTTTCCTCTAACAAAATGACTTCTAATATCTTTTGGGAGATATTGAAACATACGGCTGAAGTCTTGACCTCAAGAGTGTGACACTTTAATTTATAGAAAGAAAGGTTATGACTCTTGTAGTTATGAGGAGATGGATGAAACAAGATTTAAATGTGTTTGCCAGAATCAGTTGATTCAAAGAGCAAGCTGCCGAACCTGAAGGAGCTGGCTGCCAGAATTGGGAGCTGACTTCCAAAACCTTTAGGAGCAGGCTGCCGAAATGAGTTGCTGCTTCAAAGGTTAAGGTATAGCAATGAACTACTATCCTCCGTTCTCTTTTAATCGCAACATTGAACTTTTTTCACTATTCACATATTCTATTTTGACTATATTTTATTCATTAATGTATTATAAATTAATTTTTTAAAAAATATTATTAAATTCTTCTCATTCTAAATTTTCAAAATATGAAATTTTTGAATTTTTTACTAATAAGGAATGAAAGATATTAATGGTCAAACTTGTGCGTTGGCAAACGTGAAATGTTGACTGTTGCAATTAAAAGGGAACGGAGGAAGTATACTCTAACACAATGGTAAGCTATAGAACATGTCTTAACACATAAGTATGAAGGATTTAGACCTATAGAAATAGATCACTTTAATTTGATGAATAGAAACAAGGAGTTGATTCACAGTGAACTGGAAGGTTCACTGGACAATTTTAGTGACCAAGCTGTTTTGTTGTGAAGTTGTGAAGGTGAGCGAGAACTGAAGTGTATGTTAGGAGCAGAATGTAAGAGGTGACACAAGATGTATCCTGATTCAGAGGTGGTGTAATGCTCCTACATCCAGTCCCAACCTAATTCAGATGGATTTCCACTAAATGAATATCCCATTACGTTTAGTGCCCAATTTATCCTTGGTCCAGGCGTAGATTGTGAGGTTTTTCACAAGGATTTGGTAATTAAATGTTTCTCGACATTTACCCCACTGATTTGGTGGTTTGTCCTCCGGGTTAACACACACACATATTCATGCCGGATTAAGTGCCTGTTGAGTGCATTTATCTCTCTCGTATTCTTCCTTGAAGTTTTGGATTAACCATTGACGGTTTGGTTTACCATTTCACCTTTTGGATTAAAAAACCGACTGAACCGAAATCGATAGAAAAAACCCGACAAAAACATACTAAAAATCGAGTGAAACTCTTATGTGAAACCAAAATAAGAAATATAAAATGAGACGGGGTAACACCATTTTGTCTAAATGGTTATGGGGGGGTGTATACATATACTTATATACGGTTAAATGGTAGTATATGTTTTCGGGTACTTTATACTTCGTATATTTTAAGGATTACATATGTTACAAATTTAAAAGTTATGTATTTAATTGCTTCAGAATGGAGTCGGAGGATATAGTTCTCACGCAAAATATTGTATTCTTTATTTTTCGACATCCAAAAAATGGTTGAGATTCGGCCACTGAATACGATGTTCATGATGGATTGGTATGATGGTAGAAGTGTATAACAATTGGGTGGGTTGAGTACGTATGTCCAATGTCCAATGCACTTGTTTGTTTAGTTAACTTAACACCAACTCGCGTGACACGTACGTATTGTTTAATTAAAAGATGCATTGAAGTACCTTACAATTTTCTCTTTTTTTTTTAAATTATTATCAGCACAAGGAGCTAGGAGTACTCCATCACTCCATCCGTACTCCATCCAACAAATCTTTTCATTTTTTTGAAAAGTTTTGTGTGTCTCATATTCATTTACTTTTTTCTACTCAAACACAATCATATATTTTCACTTTAGTCTCATTTTCTTAATAAGCGTGTCAAGTTAAATCGGGAACTATTTTTTGGGATGGAGGTAGCAGTAGGTGAATAGCTAGAGAATTTGTAACATTGTTTTTCGGTGTGTCTTTCGTTCAATGGATATGATACCGCGCGTGCGGGAACTTCATACTCGCGCGTCGTCGTATATAATTGCAATGCGTCTATCTCAAGTTCTCAACTTCTACTCCATCTGATCCATATATATATATATATATATATATATATATATATATATATATATATATATAGGGAACGGTTCCGGTAAGAACAAATCTTAGGAGAAAAATGAGAACGAATCTGGACCCTTGGATTGAATTATGTGGAACTGATTGTGCATTTAGTGAAACCGAAATGTGCATTAGATGATATTGAAATGTGCAAAATAAACATTTAAACTCACATGTGCACAATTTAGCTTCACATAATGTCAATTTTACCTAATACACATTACAGCTTCATCTAATGCACATTGAATTTCACATAAAACAAATCTAACGGTCCATATTCGTTCTCATTTTTCTCATAAGATCATGTTCTTATTTGAACCAAAACCTATATACGTAGTATATATGTATGTATGTATGTATGAGCCAATGAGGTGGATCAACCAAACGAGCTGAGCTGATCTGAAGCATTGACAATCGATCAAACGACAAAGCTACGGCTGGCCGGGGCGAATTAATAAAAGTATGGAAGAAATATCATCGTCCGTATTTCCATTTCCATTCCAGGAGGGATTGCTGCATTTTTCAGGACCACCACTACTGCTTCCCATCAATCCAGCTGCGGCTAATATGAAGAATTTTGATCCCCTTCTAAACCAACCTCCACCTCCTCCTCCGCCGCCGCCGCCGCCGAGGAAGATTATGCGAAGGGACGTTGAAAGACAGCGCCGAAAAGAGATGGGAGCCCTTTACAAAACTTTACTCACCTTAATCCCTCTTCATTACATCAAGGTATGTCTATATTGTTTGCATACAAAACTTCCATCATTTATCCAATACATTTTCATTTATTTATACTTTATTATATTCAAACACTCTCCAAAGCTTCCAAACTTTACATGCAAAACTTCTTTGCATACATAACTTAATCTCTCATACTTGATCGATCTTTGCATACAAAACTTGAAAGCGTCCATCGTTTTGATTTCTCCAAAATTTTTAAAAAAACTTTTTTAAAATAGAAGCAAACGCAAACACTATATATATATATATATAGATTTTGGTTCAGGTGAGAAATGCATCTAACGTGAGAAATGAGAATGAATCTCAGCCATTGGATTTACGAAGTTGCACTAAACTTGGCTTTATGTTGCAGTAATATTTAAATTTTGCACATGTTGCACTAAAACTGTTTCATGTTGCACTAATATTTGACGGCGTTGCACCGAAATAGCTTCATGTTGCACTAGACACGTGTAATACGGATTTTTCAGAAGTATTTACAGAAATGCCACCGTGCTAGATTGCATATTTCAGTGCATCATGAAGTGTCTTTTATTGCAACTTAGTCGAATCTAATGGCTGAGATTCATTCTCATTTCTCACCTTAAGGGTTCTTCTCACTTGAACCTTACCCTATATATATATATATATATATATATATATATATATATATATAGTTCGTCAACAAGAGTACAAATTAAACCATCAATATTCATAATATATGTGGTTGTTTACAAAATTATATACATACGTATCACCTAATTAATTTGGAAAAAATGTTAAATAGGTCAACGTATTATTAATCAATTTCAACCAAACGGTCTTCAATTAACCCCATGTTCGTGGATGTCAAACTGATTTTTCTATTTATCTATTTTTTCTTTTCTTTCATTTGTTTTTTACTTTTCTCTTTTTTCTTCCATTTCGTCTCTTTCTTTCTTCTTTTTCCCTACAAGTTACCTGCTAGGCTGCTACTATACGTTTCGCGCATTCTCCTTTTATATTGTCCCTGCCGGCCTCCATTTATCTCTGTCTCGTCCTCCATAGTGTACGCAGGGGCGGACCGTAGTACAGACCCAGGGGGGCTGCCGCCCCCCCAACAATTTTTTTTTTAATGTATATATATACAAAATTTTTATTTTTACCCCCCAACATTTAATTCTCGCCCCTCCAAGAAAAATTTTGAACCCCCCCAAAAAATATTTTCTCCCCCAAAGCATAGCCCACTCGCAGAAACTCAATTGTTTAAGAGCCTAAAAAAATAGAAATTTTAGAAGTAATATTATATCAACTCACTCCAAAATTTATTCCCCATTAATCCACCCCAAAATCTAATCCCAGCCCACAGCCACGACCAAACTAATGAAAAACATGCGCACCTAGAAGAAAGAAACAGAAAGATCGATTATTTTTAAATGATTGTCCTTATGCCTACTATGTTCATTGCTTAGCACATCAGTTGCAATTAGCATTGGTTGCTGCTTCTAGAGAGGTGGAATATGTGCACAATTTTTTCATCGATTCAGTCTTTATTATTAATGTGACTAATTCTTCTTGCAAACGAAGTGATGAATTAAAGGAAGCTCAAGCACTTGAAATTGCAAGAATGTTGGAAATTGGTGAGCTTGAAACAAGCAGAGGACTTAATTAGGTTGGTACATTACAACAAGCCAGGGAAACTCGTTGGAGCTCACATTTCAGTTCTGTTTGCATTTTGATTAGGATGTTTGCTGCAACTTGTTCTGTTTTAGAAGATGTTGAAGAGAATGGCAATAACTATTTTACTCGTGGAAATGCAGCTAGAGAACTTAAGAAGATTAAATCTTTTGATTTTGTTTTCTTGTTGCATCTTATTAAAGAAATTATGGGCATTACAGATCTTCTATGTCAGCATATACAGAAGAAGTGCCAAGACATAGTAAATGCTATGCATTTGGTGTCAAGCACCAAAATGTTGATCCAAAAGTTAAGGGAGGGTGGATGGGATAACTTCTTAGAAATTGTTAAAGAGTTTTGCACAAAGCATGAAATTGAAGTTCCTAATATGAAGTCTCCTTATGCGGTAAAACCGTAAAACGCAAACGCCATGATCAAGAAGGGTTTGATATTGAACGTCACTATCGGGTTGATATGTTTTACGCAGCCATAGATTCATAATTGTTGGAGCTGAATAGCAGATTCGGTGAACTAGAAATTGGATCTTCTTACTCTTAGTGGTGCTTTGGATCCTAAGGACTCATATAAGTCTTTTAACATTGATGATATCTGTTCTTTAGTGGATAAATATTACCCCTTTGATTTTATTGAGCAGGAGAAGGTGAGCTTGAGGTTTCAATTGCAACATTATAAGCTCAATGTTCTAAACCATCCAAAGTTGGCAAATTTTTCTACAATGGGTGAACTTTGTCAAAGATTAGCGGAGACGGAGATGTCAAAAGTGTACTTTCTTAGCTTGTTGATAAATTGATCCGACTTTTGTTGACTCTACCGGTTTCGACAGCAACAACCGAAAAGACTTTTTCCGCAATGAAAATTATAAAAACAAGGCTTCGCAATAAAATGGAGGATGAGTATGTTGCAGACAACCTTATTGTTTATATTGAAAGAGAAATTGCTAAAACTTTTGACTAAAAAGCCGTGATTGAGGAATTTATCTCGTTGAAGAAGCGTTGGGTACATTTCTAAGGTACTAACTTTAACTATTTTGTAATAATATATTTGCCTCTTCTTCTATTATAATGCTTCATTTAATTACTACTCCGTATTATATTAAGGTTATAACTTATAATAATAATCGCCTAGATTTTTTTTGTTTAAATTATCGCCCCCCCAATATCAATTTCCTGGGTCCGCCCCTGAGTGTACGTATGTTGCCCACTGTACCTGCCCCTACCTCCATACCCACCGCCTCTACGGTTTTCACACACCTTTGTTGCCCTTTTCTCCAGAGCCATCGACTCCACGGCCTTCGTAAGAGCTCAAGCTCGAGTTCGAGTGAATACAAGCTAGCATTATATTCAGCATTCATATCAAGCTGAAACATATATATATACTTCCTTCGTTCTCAAATAAGTGCAATGGTCAACATTTCACATTTGTCGAGACACAACTTTGACTATTAATATATATAAATCTCTGTTAGTAAAAAAAATTAAAAAAATCAGATTTTGAAAATTTGCAATGAGACAAATTTAGTACTCCCTCCGTCCCTAAAAAGTTTCATTTCGCTTATCAAGGGTCAACTTAAATCACTCTTAAACTCTTACTTTTTATATCAAAATTTTATAAAGTTGAATTATTTTTTGCAGACTTTGTAGCGGGTTTAGTGTAGTTTCTGAATATGTAAATTTTATTTACTAAAAATAATCCGAATTTTCACAGATATCATTTAACTTTATCGTCGGTCAACCTTCGTAATCCGCAATTGGAACAACATTTAGGGACGGAGGGAGTAATATTTTTTTCAAAAATATATATTTATGCATTAATAAATAAAATGTAGTCAAAGTAGAACATGTGAATAGTGTAAAATTTGGTATGTTGCACTTATTTAAGAACGGAGGTAGTATACATACATACATATATATCCATACAATTAATTAATTTTGACCCCTACCATACATAAACACTTCGCTTGTTCACTCAATGTACATTATGACATACGGAGTACTAGGCATCAGACACGGAAAGGCCTTGTTCCGTAAATTGCTTATCAGCCATTTTTTAGCAAAAAAAAAGTAGTATTGGTAAAATAACTACTTCAAATAGATGTTTAACCTGAGTAGCCATTTTTGCACACAGTGCTAGTAGTAGTGCTTTTGTTAGATTACCACATGGGCAGATGGACTATTCCTTTTATCAGATTGACGTTTTAGGATGGAACCTCGTGTCTTAACAGCTTAATGTCAATTTTTCCTATCTTTATTTTCTATCTTTCTTTGATCCAAAAGTGGTGGAATCTCCCACCCCAGGAGCCCCCACACCCCGACCCGAAAGGATGGTGAAGGAGTAAGTCATACGGTGACTCAGTCAGCAAAGTGGCAGTAGGCCTATAACTCGTGCACGCCAGAGGTCCAGCCTTATTTTAGGTTCGGTAACCTCCACCCGGTTGCTGCGGGAATTCGAACATTGGTCCATTGATCCAAATTTCTCACCATTGACCAACTGAGCTACCCGTGCCCGGGTTATTTTCTATCTTTCTTCAATCTATTTCATACGTATTATGTCATACAAATAAAATTTTAAAAATAATGGTTATATATTTAGTGTAAAAAATTATGTGTAAAAAGTCTTTGTACCGGTCCCATCCAATTCTTAGGGTTGGTTTGCAACTGCTTTTAAAAAAGCACTTCTCAGCTTTTGGCTTTAAAAAAACACTTATTTTTCCAAACACTACAACTGTTATTTTTCTCGGCTTACACGTCAAAAGTGCTTTTACTTTTTCTATTACACAAAAAGCACTTATTTTACCAAACACTACCCACTTTTACTTTTTAAAATCACTTTTTTCTCAAACACTATCAACTTTTATTTAATCACTTCTCCCCATTTCATTAAAAAAAACACTTTTTAAAAGTAGAAGCTGTTGCAAACATACCCTTACTCTCCTGATAGTATAAATTTATATGCTCCTCAATACGCTCCTGAAAGTCCTGATAGTATAAATTTATACGCACCTATTCCGCCGTTCTCATTCTTTTTCTTAGTTCATGTACATTCATTCATCAAACAAAACGGGTTGTTGGATTGTTCTATCATTACTTTTGTTATTTTCATTATTTTATTATTGGGATAAGGGTCAGTTTGGTCCTCGAAGTTGCAAAAAAGGGGTCAAATAAGTCCTTATATAGAAAATTCTGTCCAGACGTGCCATTTGAGGTGGCTCCCGGTGGAATTTTTTGATGAAATTTTTTGAGCATCTTATTCATTAAGTCTAGTTTACTCATACCAAATTTCAAATAAAAATTCAATCGGGAAGACATTCAAATGAATTCTTGAAGATAACTGTG